TAAATGAAATGTAATAAAGCAAGTGAAATGATAATAAAGCAAGTGAAAAATAAAGAGAATATCTGGTTCCAATCAAGAGGATTAAAACACAGGTCTACTTAATGTACAGGTAGATCTGCGGATCCCAGGAAGATCAAACCTTAAAGAAAAGGTTAACCTAGGACAACGTGCGACCTAGTCTGAGTTATCTTATGGCTAAAACCCCACATTACAAATGCAGTAATAAGACGTTGTTATCTGTGTATGTAATTGTGTAGCCAGTGTCTTAACGTCTAATTAAAGGGGCAGGTAGTGGCTCACGAATACGGCAACCCCACCTTGCTGTCATTTATACAGTAAGGAAAGTCCAAGTTCTGACATAAGCACGTAGTACATATAGTGTGTAGAAGTGTTAGTTAGAATAACATATGTAGTTCAAGTGAAAGTAAAACAAATGTAGTCCAAGTGAAAGTGAAAGAAATGTAGTTCAAGTGAAATCCTAAGGAAAAAGGATAAGATATAGTGAGCCAAAATAAAAGTGTCAATATTGCATGGCCAACCCTGCTAATATTTTTAGATGTCTTAACCTGTAAACTAATAAAGTGTTAGGATTATTTACTAATATTTAGTATAGTGCCTTCTGGTAAATATAGTTACTGGGTGCAAACTACTTCCTGGGAGCTAGACACTAATTGGGATAATTGGGACCAGTTAATTTGAGAATGACAACTTATAATAATCTTAATTGTTCAAAATATATAATTAATTAATCCTAAATTAAATATCTATGTACAACTTAAATTGAATTCATGGACTGCTACAGTCAGTTTACATTGTTTAAGAAGTTCAATTGCAAGGGATTATTTGCCTTACTTCTCTTATACTTCATCAATGTGAGTTTCTCATTATTATTTAAATGTGCCAGACAAAGGTCATATACCAAAGCATTATGTTAGAGATAAAGTTTGCACAAACAATTATGATGTGCATCATTAACAGTGTTTATAAACAAAACTTAGTAGAAAGGTAGGATTTAGTGCAAGTTACTTTTAACTAGATATGGTTATAATAGGCCATAAAAGATTTTTTTTTCTCCTGTACATATGATTGTAATTTTTAACTCAAGAAAATACAGGATTGGATTGTGCCAAGTTGATAAGTTTTTACTGGCAACAGAATCATACGCGTAAAATTCTGTGCTGGTGCATAATGAGTGATCAATTACCTTTGTTGGTTGTTAATTGCAGTTTGGGTATTTTCAAAAAGAAATTGTCCTGTTTATAATTGTTTTATTGAGTTTAATAATTATTATGGTAGTTTATGATGATTTTAGTTAGATAACCAGTATGTAAATTGTAAAGTAGAGTATACAAATAGGTGTTTAAAAAAAATGTATATTGTATATGCGACCACTCTGAACACTAAATTGCTTAAAATAAGAATTGCTAGCAGACAATTTGAAAGTTGGTAGACTTATGGCCTCAAAAATTATGGAGGAGTTATTAATCTTCTAATATGATGAATTTCTTGATTAATGAAAATTATGCTGAATTATATTAACTCTGATAGTGCAACAACTACTATTATAAACAATGTGACTTTACTTCAGGAAGGAAGGACAATATGACACTCCTCATCTCCAGGCGATGACATCAACATTGGACGATGACATCAACGTTGGACGTTGATATAACATTTTAACATATTTTATACTTTGATAGAATTTAACATTACAGGTTATATATTTTTAACTTGGACTGATTAAACGGAGTGATTTTCATTTAGAATGCGGGACGCATTCTTTGGAGGAGAAGCAAATGTGACGGAGTGATTTTCATGTTGTATTTTATAATTAATATCTTATACTTTTACTTTGTTTTTACTTTGTAAATTAATTAATGGAAACATGATACAAAAAGCATTTAGATAAACAACAGGTCATGTAGTACACCTGGGATATCTCTGGTCAGTTTCTCACATTAAATATGCAATCATTACAATTGTTCAGAGCATCTTCAGACTTACAAATGTTTCTTTAATTTACATTTAATTTACATTTCTATATCTTGGATTATAATTAGGATTTGAAGCAGTCTTCCCATTGTTAAACTTTTTACATAACAGATTTGAAGTGATCATGTGATGTCTGGTTTTGAAGAATATACTATATGCCATGTGAGATTTGGGTCACTTTTCGGCCTAGACTTCAAAAAGACATAACTAGATTTAGCAGTAGATTAGAAGTGAAAACAAGTGAAATAAATAAAAGATAGAAATTAAAACATCACACTATTGTGTACAATTAATATAAAGAAAGCCCGGTCATAAATGTATTGTATTAGTTGTACATTAGATATTTTGTGGACGGTTACGTGCATGTACACTTTTCAAGTCAAGGTTGCTAGTTCTGATAGCCTTTTTCCATGTCATTGTTATAATGGGTAAGAATGGAATATTGAATTGCTTATATTTGTTTTCAGGACTCGCAAGAGACGCTCTTGTTTGAGCCTCTATAGGGCAAGCAAAAAATTGTGTCTTGCTTTATTTATGAAACCAATGAAAGTCAAAAAGATAGCAATGAAGAGGCAAATGGAGAATTAGCATCAAGTACTGATGAATATGACAAAATTAATAACAATGAATCGGGGAAACATATTTGAACGAGGTTCACGTAACCGTCCATCAATTTTTTGCGTAACCGCATTCAAATTCAAAATACATTATTATGGCTTGAGTAGAACATATTAAGTGGTTTCCAATGCTCAATTGGCTTTTTATGATGGTATGTAGGTTACATCTATATACCCCGAGGTCGTTAGGCAATGTAGACCATGCCCTAACGACAAAAATAAACAAATTACTAAATTTTGTGTAGTTTGAAATTTCAAACTCAACAGTTTTCCCTTATTTCATGTTATCCCCAGGCATCAATTTGCAAAGACTACGTTCAAAATATACATTACTTAATGCATCATCAAATGCGATGCTTACATAAATCGTTCATCATTTCATTGATACACAGTAGAAGAAAATGATGCACCAACCTTAGTTTTCTGTTCCATCACGGCCATTTTATTGGATAAATCAGTGAACGTAGCCGTCCAACCTCGTTTTCAGAGATGGTGTAATTGTCATGCTATAGCAGGGTGACTCTGTTTAGTTTGAAAACGCACCCTTTATTATTTTATATCAGCACTGTAACATGGTCTCAACTCAATAATCTGACTTCTGGCCTCAACACTCATATTTATTGAAAATAAATACGGATTTGTTATATTTTCTCACACGGTTGATGTACAATTGAAATGGACATTCTTGGGGGAAGAATCTGATGGATTTATACTTGAGCATATATCTTTGGGGTAAAAACTCCCATGTAGAAGGATCATCTGTTTTCTACAAAATCAGCCTTCAATAAAGGCTGGACATGCAGTAATTGTCATTTCAGAGCTGATTTCAGGTAGGGTAGGCATATTACATTCTGTACCTCTCTGACAGTCCTTGTTTTATGAAGAGATCTATCTTTTTTTAGGTAACCGGTCTCCTTAGACGGTGAACACCGCCTCTAATGCGTTGGATTGTCGTATGGACTTGCATTACATTTGGCCAACACGATCCTCAGAGACCCAGTGGGTGCATGAATGCACCTACCGGTCTCCTATGCTTATTTACACTAGTATTTAGAATCAGAAAGAAATATGTCCATGGCTAGCGCCGTTTTATTGGATGTTTGAAATCTAGCTTGGGCTTCTATTGAGGGCCCCTTAAACCAGAATAGGATTGGAACTTGAAAAGACTAACCTAAAACTTACTTAGTTTACACAAAGCTATCTCCTGAGAGATAGCTTTGCAAAAATGGATATTCCCAGCCCATGCTAAAGGTCTTTTACAGAAATGTTAGAAATCGTTGGAACACTTACAATACTTCAATCGATGACAATACTTCAATCGATGTATAACATCATAAAATATCGGTTTTATATTCGTAGAACGCTAACTGGAGTCGGGAGACAGTGTAATTGACGAAAAATGTATTTGGAACTTGTTATTTTCCATGTCGTCTGACCAGGAAGTCTTGCCAATGCGCATGCGTGTAACCGGAAGCGGAAATATCATGGCATAGAAGCGCATGCGCATTACCCAACTTCCCGAGAAGCCATCTTGAAAATTATCATCTTCAACCATTTTTCAACATTATTCGTCAATTACACATCGATTGAAGTAGTGTAAGTGTTCCAACGATTTCTTACATTTCTCCAAAAGACCTTTAACATGGGCTGGGAATATCCATTTTTGCATAGCCATCTATCTAAAGATGGCTATGTGCAAATATAGTAACCTAGAACACAGATATTGGCCAGATCGTTTTGTAGTAGGATCTCATAGGCTCAAAGAATAATTCACAAGATACGACACTAAATTGGAAAATTTCAAAAGAATATGACCACCTTTTAAAAATGTTCCTTATACAAAATGGTACCTGCTTCCCCATGACAGATTTTGCACTCATTTTATAGCGGAGATCTTCATCTTTCTATTTCTACTTGTTTGGTTTGAGTAAATAACCTATGGATGCAGTTATTTGACTTTTAATACAGCAAATATTTTTCACGAGATCCGGACTCTTGTGTGTCCAAATATCATTGTACTTATGACGTCACATTTCTGGAACCACGAGAGCACCATTCAGATTTGGACAGACAAGAGTCCGACGATAAAATATCACTGTTTTGGCCTCTTATCAACGCAGCATTGCTTGAATAATGGACATCGGTGATAAAAAAAGTTAAAGAATAACCTGTAACGAGATGCTTCGAATGAGGTATGATTTGTCTCATATTTTTCAGAAATGGCTCCATAATCGTCATTTTAAAATTTGAAATTTTCTGAGGTGTCTCATCTTGAGGAATATTTATTGAGCTACTGATCCTACAACAAAAGAATCTGGCCGGGATCTATGACCTAGAAGAACAAAAATTTGCATCGGAAAAATGGTGGTGGCCATTTTTGGAAATATTTACCTATCATCATCGTCATGTTTAGATGCATTTATTCGGTTTCCATCGTCGGGGTCTGTACTCTGAGGTGGACAATCACCTTCTGTTAAACCTTCTTGATATTCTTGTTGGTAATTTGCATCGTTATTTTCAGTACCGTTTGCGTATTCGTCAGACATGATTCTGGATGAACAAAGCTTGTACAGGTAGAGTGCTCTTCGTGTCACGTGATATGTATGCGCTATGTGATTGGATGATACAGATTAGTCTAAAATATAACTCAGCTGAAAAGGGATCATTTTATAAAAATATTAATTATTACAGAAACAGCAAGATGGTTATAATTTTTTTTTAAATTAAATATTTCAATTATTCATTAGAATATTATTTTTAATGTTTTGAGGTTTAGAAATATATTCATTTTTAACAATTAGTAATTTCGTCATTACTTTAGTTGAACTTCTAGTGACAGTTTTCGAGGTAAAGAACGGCACTCCTTTTCATTGGTTTATTTGTAGTTTTCTTTTGGAATAAATCGTCTTTATTTGCCTTCATTTTTTCCTCTATAAATGTAATATAAATTATATAAACTGATTTACCATCCAGATCAATCAATCATTGAGAAATTTTAAGCATTCTTTATAATTCAGTAAATTTGACCTTTATTCTCATTGGTCAATTCTGAACATCCTCCATAGTCATAGAATTTGCAACAACAAATAATTTTCAGCTCTTAAACCCTATTTTACACACGACACTGTGACAACTAAGGTATTTTATTTACCGTAAATGCTAGGGGTATATGACAAGACTGCTCTGGTAAGTAAAACATTATGCTAACTTATCAATATTAAGCAAATTAGATTGTTTAGAATCAGTCTAGGCTAAACTTCTAGAAATTTTCTCAAGTCTGAAGTCAAAACAGACACAGGAATTTGTAGCACTAGACTACTCTATGGATTGCTTATGTCAGTACAGAATCTGAAAAACCCAACATCTATGCTTCAGTAATACGACTATTGATATTCTTTGATTCCATGAGACCGTCACTTTCCATCAAACTAGAGTCCATTTCACTGCTTCAGTTCGTCAGTAGAACGGCAAAAATAAGAAATTGGGAGACTATTGTGCAATAATATATGGAAAAGTATATTCATAATGTACATGAATGACATTTGTATATTTCAGATTTTTTAGTTTTTTGTGCAATAAGCCTGTGTCGTCTTGTAATTTGAAGAATTTCAGCAATGTTAATCTTATTGAAAATAACATGGCAGAGAAACATCCAAATATAAGAGGCCACACACTTTATAAGCCAAACTAGAAGCAATCCAAGATATACAAATGTCATTCATGTACATTATGAATATACTTTTCCATATATTATTGCACAATGGTCTCCCAATTTCTTATTTTTGCCGTTCTACTGACGAACTGAAGCAGTGAAATGGACTCTACAAGTCTGAGGTCATGAGTTTGCAGCACTTATAATTCTGACAAAATTGTTGCCCCAATTTGCAATTGTCGAACCCGGGATCTTACCTCACTCAAAATTACTCTTTTAGCATTATTATGAATTGTATCACCAGAGTTTTGACTAATAACAGAGCTGGGGAGCAGGAGGAATTTTAGAAAACTCAGAAATATTATTTTGGAAGTGCTCCCACTTTACTCCCGTCGAGAGCTACCATGTTAGATTTTGAAAGTATAGCTCTCCATCGTGAGGATCTCCAGCTGAAGAATTGTGACATCTAAATTGGATCAGCGCCATTCAGCGGCTTACTGTTTGTCTCAAACTGTAGCCTACATATGGGCTCATATGTGTCTACTTTCCCCGTGCATGTAGGATCGCTGATGTGCTTCTATGGCGATCAGGAGGTCTAATCGTTTTTTGAATTCATTGTTTGATACCCATTTCCAATATGGCGGTTAAACAGAAATTTTATCGACGCATGCGCAACTTGGGAAACGTCAAGCCGCCATATTGAATATACCTGGCCAAAACTTTTGACACGACCAATAAAATGAAGTCCTGGTCGATACATACTAGGGCAGTGAGACGTTCTATAGTTGAGCTGAATGAAAGATGGCGATGTAGGATACATTTTCAGGTATATAATGTGCAACATGAGTCAGCTGAATTCCCCGGAATTTTCTTTGAAGTCAGGATTCTTAAGCTGTTGATTCTAGCGATAGAGAGCTATACTTCCAAAATCTAACATGGTAGCTCTCGACGTGAGTAACTCCCACTGGTTTCTTAACCACTTGTTGTTGTGCTCCAATGGCGCTTTAACCTCAGCAGTTGGTCATTATGTGCTTTTTGTTCATCTATTGGTGCTCATACTATGAGCTTTTCAAGACTTATACGTCATTTGATTTGCCTTCGCAAGATTTTGCTCGCAGTTGCATATATAGTACACTAATTATTTATAACTCCCCCTAGAATTTAGTTTCACTTTGGCAGAGCGCAACAGAATTTGCTTTCAGGCCGTGATTTGCAGAATCATAAATTTTGATCAATAATTGCGGAATTTCCCAAGAAACACTTGCTTTGTGCTGTAGTATGAAGGGGATTTCTATATAAATGAATAAACAAAATGAAATCATCTGATCTCTGTATGAAAATAAACTAATAGCATTGGTGAAAGTCGGTTATAAGTACAGTGGCGTAGCGTGGATATTTTGTGAGTGTACGGTACGAATGAGTGAAACTCTGAGGGGGATGGGGGTTCATCCCTCAGAAAATTTGAAAATCATTCTGGGGCATTTTGAAATATATAATTTCGACTGAAATGGACTAAAAGAATTGGCCATAATTCAGTACTTTTAAAGTGTTCAGTATAAAAAAATCAATTTTTCTCTAAATTTGAGAGAAGTTTTATGCGCATTGAAGTGAGAACATATATAATATCTGAATATCACGCGATGATTAGCTTTCTTGAATTTCGATTATATTTAATTTAAAATCATGTATAATTTTCAGAGTTTCTTTAAAGGAATATTTATTTTATAATTATGTATAATTTTCAGAGTTTCTAAGGGAATATGACAAATATCCGAGTGGAACAAATAAGTAATTATAAGTTATTATAGCCCTATGATAAGTAGTTCTTTCTACTGGAAGAAACCGAATTTCAAAAATGGTTCTGACACCATGGTAAAATATTTCTTCAGTCTCTACCTACTTTAATTTGGTTTCTAATTCATGATCTGATTGGTTCAACACAGTATATCTTTTTACTGCAGGCCAGTTAAAACTTTAGACTACAGTAGTAAGAAAACAAGGCAACCGGAAATAAAAAAATTAAATATGAGAACATTTTTGTATTTATCTTTATGAACAACTATAACAGTTTTCACTTGTTGAGTTGAGTTGACAATCATTAAGAGACTTCAGGTATCTTAGGTAACTAAGTGATTTGAGTAAATTAAAGAAAGAATCGCAACTTCTGCAAAGCTACTTCTGTACCATTTTATTTTAATACTCATAATGTAAAATGCTAAAAAATGTCTTATTTAATATGTAGATTAGAAAATCTGGTTTTTAGGTTAACATGATATACAGAGCTATTGATTTCCCATTTCTTTAATTAAACACATCTCAAGAAATTACTGGTGAATTCTATTCAGTGTAATTATGCCAGTGACTTACTATTAAGCCATAAAAAGAGAAAATTATAGTATATATTTTAAGCTATCTATGCTAAGGGACAAATCTTTTTACAAATGCATAGATTAAATATATAGATTTGAAAACAAATTTCTGATGTATTTACAAGAAGACAAGTTAGTGAATAATCTAAACCATTTGTTGGAGTTGATATGAGATAGCCTGTTGGAGCTTTTTTTTGGGGGGGGGGGTGCAGCATCTTGGGGCTTTGGGAAATTGCTGTGTATATGTTGCTAACTAACTATGCTAATGAAACTGATCTAAGCTGACTCTAGCAAAAATTGTATCTTTTTCAATGATGAACATTTTAAAATGTCAAATGAGCATTATTTAAACATATTCTGAATTCTGGATTCTAAGACCCATGGGTCCTTTATAACTACATAACACACTAAAATCCTCATCTAAGAACTCAACAACACTGGATCATGTATTGTACTTACAAAACATGGGAGTAGGTTAAGCTGTGAGTGTGAAAACACATGTCCCTAAGTCATACTTCAGTAGTAAATCAGTAGAATCATGCCTATAATACAGGTTAAATATAGTTCATGTACTATTGAGTTCATTCGATTAGAAAACAGAAAAGATACAGAGAAGCGAGAGACCTTATTCCTGTTAGATGCACTTCCTGACAATGTTTTTCCAAGGATTTTTCTTAACTACAGGGTGTCTCAAAAATGTACCGAGACAAATATGGAATACATCTGTGAGTGATGAATGAGTATTCTTGAAATTTAGTGATGTGACAGACAATTTTATAATCATGAATATCTGAAACTTTCACTGGCTAACTCTGTTTAATTTAGAGAAAGGCTTGTTTTAAAAAGTTTGCCTCTGTGTCATAATGTTTTTTCTCAGTTTTATTTGTTTGTCTGTTTGTTGTTTTATTGAGCCAATTGTAATTGAATAGCTAATATATTCAGATTGTTTGACCTTCATTTATATTTTCTGCAGAATTGCTATCCCCTTTATATATTTCAATAATATGTCAGCATAGAACACATCTAATTGAACATATATAGCATTTATATATATAATTATATAGTTATTTGAAATGCAGCCATCATTGTACTCCTATTTCCAGATATCCAGGTAAACAGCCATACATGCTACCTTATTTCAATTAACATTGATGAAATCTAGGTGATTATTACATGATCTGTTGTAAATCTAATACATTGTATTGGTAGAGAAGAATGCAAATCAATACTCTTGATATTGCCTTGTTAAAGTGCACAGGCTTCTAATTCATAATTCTTTCTCTTCTCCAAACGTCTCTTATTCCCTAGCCATTAGATAATCATAGAAGAGAGAGAGTCTAATACTGGACTTGTTGCTAGACTGACATATAATGTCACCATCAAGATATAAAATCATAGTTACAGCATGGTTACAGCTACCTTTTTGTGACTGGTAACATTTTGTTGTTTATCAGTTACTCTAATACAGTAAAACCTGTGTATATTGAAAATTCTTTGCCAAGAAAACACTTTCAGTGTTGGCAGGTGTTCACTACACAGCCAATATAATTTTGCACCGTTTCGGCATCGAAAACATTTGACACCATTCCGGCACTGTTTCGACACCGTTCCGGCACCGAAACCTTTCGACACCAAAATTTGCCACCGGACTAGTCAGTCCATTTGGTGCCGATATGGCACCGAAATTTGGCACTGAAACGGCGTCGAAAATCAGATTGCATTTTGGGGGTGTACTGAGAGAGAGAGTAATATAAACATAAGTCATTAGAGTATATGCGCACCATTGAAGAAGGGTGTCTCCTAGAGATAAGTGTTCATTATAGAGAGGTATTCACTAAGACATATATATACCTGTATATTGATTGT